ACCTCCCCGTCAATACAGCCCCCGCTGCGCCCCTCAAGGCCTAGCAACATGCTGAACTCGTTGCACACTTCAGCCTCCTACGGGCGTATCCTTCACATGCCGAAGAGAAAGTTTCAATGCTCCATGGCGCCGAGTCTCGGTCGCCTTGGGATGGCCGCGAACACTCCATCGTCCGCATACAAGCCCATGTATGAGTACCGAATTCCTTGAGTTAGCAATTCCCCTCACCTCTGTGAGCTTTGCACAACTCTTTCGATCGCTGAACAACTCATTCCACCTTGCATGGTCTCATTCTTGCCAAGCGCCTCGCTTGCCTAGAGCACCGTCAAGTATAGTTGTTAACGTTGAGCCGTAGCTCAAACTCAGCCATCCCAACCTTTGTGCGCTCCACATTCTTCCAAGCTTGTCTGTTCTCGTGGTGCCTCTTGCGCGAAGGGTTGGCCATTCCTCTGAATGCCAATCTCAGATGCCCGCTCCTCCGAGTGACTCCTTTTCCCTACATCTCCATGCCCGTTTTCCCCCCAAACGGTCGCACGTGTGCTGACTGCCCTCAACGCAGCCCCGCTAGGTCCCCCACGTTTGCATGCTAAGTGTTTCTATGAGTGCTTGTCCCGCTCTGATACCATCTGTCACGAACTTAGCTGGTTTTGCCTAAGTCGTGCGGCACCCTTGCGTGTCCGTCCGCAAAGGTCAGCCTCCCCGAAGTCTCTCATTGTCCCTTAGGACCACCAAAAGAGAGAACGGGTTAGAGAGAACGCCTCACTCGGGATCCACAAGCAAACATCTCCGAAAAACACTTCATAGACAATGCAAGTTACAAACAGACTTTACAAGCTCTGAACAGTGGCACAACAAAGGGTAAAATGGTCCATTACAGACCGAAAATCTCTCGCACGTGTCCACATGACACAACCTTTATTTACAAGCCTAAAGAGGCCACCAACCCAACTAAAATGGGACTATTAAGCCTTCGGCCGCCCCTCTACATTCTGTACAAGGCAAGAACATGCCAAGAGACACGGACATACATGAGCATTACATCAAACATCTTGTTTAGAAGTTTGTCCGTGACAATGCGGCGACAGCAGCAGCAGCGAGCATCGGCAACGGGAGCAGGAGCGGCGAGCGGCGACAGTGGGAGCGGGAGCGGGAGCGGGAGCGGCGACAAGAGCGGCGATAGCGATAGCGTGAATGGCGAGCAGGGTTAGGGTTGGGCAGCGGCAACGACAGCTGATATCAGTGCTTTAGTTGGTTCGATTGAACCAACTAAAGCACCGGAGACCGAACCACATCTAAAACGCTGGTTCGGTCGCCTGGTTTAACCCAGGCGCTCGCCCGAAGCGCCCAGTGCCTGGGCTCGGGCGAGCGCCCAGGCAGCGCCTAGAAGTGAAGCGAGGCGCTCGGGCCTCGCCTCGCCTCGCCCGAGCGCCCAAGAGCCTATTGAAATCATTGCTTAAAACAACAATGTTTGCTGAACCTTGATATTTGCTGTGTTATACATCTTAATTCAGATAAAAATCACACAAACATACTTGAATGATTCAGGCATTAATGGCATAGAAACTAAAACATGTCTAGAATCAGAAAATAACCACTGAAAGCACAGGGGACAAAGAAAAACACAACAGAGATAAATATGACTAAAAAACTGACATGCGTCAAGACTTTATAACACTTCCATAAATCATAAAATAAGTATAAATTCGCTATGAATACAGCATTAGGAAACCAACATCAAGAAACCATAGAGATGACTGCTGAGAAACACAAAATTAAAATTACCTCTTGAATATCCTGACTAAATAATCCAGGTGATTGCTTATAATCCCCATTTTTCATCTTTGAGTTAATCAGGCTGAAGTCAAAGAACAATTTGACCTTGTTGTCCTGGAAGTTATGGCAGATCAAATCACACAATAAGAAAAACTTTTCTGAACGTAAAATGTCAAGAAAGTGTTCTTGACTATTTAAATTGATGACATCTGTATCAGTTTCACTAAGAGATCCAGTTTTTGATGCACTCTTTTCAGCATTTGCAGCACTATCTGGTGTTTGATGACATTTTACTTCACTGTTCCCAACAAACTTATCCTGGTATACATGAAAAGTTACAGTACACTATTATTTCAAACTTTGCAGCAGAGTGAAGAGACCCAGATTGAAGATATGCCACTGTAGTACCTTTAGTTGTACTGTGTTCCCCAAGATATCAGTCATCTTGAACTTTTTGGTAAATTCAGGTCCATATGTGAGAGCGTCACGGATGCAACATGAAATGCCACCACCTTCACTCATATCAGGAAACTGCAGTATGCTTTCTAGTACATATTTCCAATGATGTTCCCTTCTAGAGTACCTATCTTCCTCAACAGTTCTGGTACATGAAATTTGGTCATGAAGTTCCTCCATTTCCTGCTAAAAACAAAATTATCCCGTAATTGCTTAAGAAAGAATAGAACAACAGAGTGGCAAATGACTTTCCTGGACTCAGTACTAAGTGACAGCTGTGACTAGCTGTTTTCCAACTAAGATTGACCATATGCATATGAGCTGATTAGATTCCAAATAAGAGGAAGTAATCGTTATTTACTTTCTAAGTTGTTCATGAAAATGTGGAAAAGAAAACTTGTTTGCAATTTTCCAAAACCACTTCAAAATAAAAATTAGTTCTCCCATAGAATAGTTTTAGTTTTTCAGTAAGTAAATATGTTTCGGATTTTTTTAATTTTCTCAGAAAATGTTCTGGAAGAATGAAAACTTTTCCAAAAGGGAACATGCTCTAAGTCTCTTATGGAATGCCTAAACTTGACACTTGAAATCTAGTGCAATAATCCAATATGATGCACCCTACCTCACATCTCTAGCATGCTGCATGATGGCATGCATGTGCTTACAACATTGTATCAATCAGTTGCCCATACCTAATTTGTGCCAAATAAAATTATTAAGCAGTAACATTAAAATAAGTTTGATCAAACAATCAAACACTTAAATTTCCATCATGATCATTAACACTAGAATATCACTTATTTTGATAGCCACATGAATAAAGGAATAGCTGAGAAGAATCACAAAATCGACATATTCACTTTACTTAACTTGTATATACAGAATATACCAATGACTAAAGAATGTAAATGAAGTCCACATGAGGATATCAAGAAGGGACAGAAATAGGATAATAGAAAAGATATCATATATAAGAGGGGAAGTGATGCCCTCACTGGCAGAGCAAAAAGCCAGTCTAGGTATAATTAGCATCTTTCTCAAGTTGTTATATGCTTTACGAGCAAGACAATGTCATAAATATCATAAACGACTTTTCAATTCATTCAAATAAACCATATTTTGCAAACTATCAAGGAAGTACATGACAAAGTTGTCAAGAAAAACAAGAATAATATATATTAGATAGGTAAGCAACAAATCCTCGCAAAAATTTAGCAAGCTTGCTTATGATCAAAGACCTGGGAGAAAAAAGAGAATGAACATATGTTTCAACATATAAACAAAACATGATACCTCAGTCATGCCAGTTAACCCCATGGTTGTGGTTGACTGCTGGTTCATGATCTTCAACCTTTCAGAGGCAATATTGGTTTCCCAAATGTCTTTTCTAGATAACTTATTGGCACTTCCCACCTGTGCCTTATTGTCACCTTTTATATGATCCTTGTCCAGTAAATCACAATGAGGAGAACACTTCTGCCTTCTTCCTTTGATACCTCGTGCAACCAACCTCCTCTTTCTGTGTTTTTGCTTCTCTATGAGATGATTCATGATCTCTTTTGCAATTTCCTCTGGGACATTTGGGCACTTTCTAACATCACAAACACCAGCAAGATGTTTCTTAAGCCTAGACACCCCACCTCCATATCTAACTAAACCACACCAATTGCACATCCACTGAAACCTATTTCCATCAACTATCTTCCCATGATCCCACCCAATATCCTTGGTTTTCTCCTTACGTGAAGGCATGCACACCTGCAAATACATTCCATGATGACACATGCGTAAGGTAAGATACTCAACAGGAAACACGAGTTAAATGCTGATACAGTTCTTATGAGGTCAAATTACTACATTAAAATGATTAAACAACATGCTCTAAGATTAACATAACACTAAAATATCTTAAAGACATGTGAAGGTGGAAAATAGTTTCTTTAAATCCATAACAACAACAATTCTCTTGGTACTTCCAAAATTAAAGAAAATCAATGAGCACTTCTCTAGCATTATAAATTAAGAGGAGCTCACAATAATTTAATTATCAAAATAATGTGCCAATTTATGCTACTATTCCCAATTTCTAATCCTAACAGAATCTAAAGGATCCAGAATTTGTTATGAGAACAACACAAACTTTTGGAACTGAATCCACTTACTAAAGATTGAGGGTCGAAAATCTCATCCAATAAATGTTTACATCTAAAATATGGATCCAGTTACCAAAGGCCAAGAAGTTTGAAACCCCATTCAATAAATTCTTACAACTAGAATATTGATCTGGTGATGGTGTACCAGGCTCATTTACAAAAAGTCAAGAGTTTAGGATGTTGATGTACCAAATCCACTTAACCGACATTTTGGATTCAAAATCTTATCGGACAAATGTGTACACTTAAAACATTAATCTGATGATGACATATGAAATCCACTTACCAAAGGTTGAGGGATCCAAACCTCATCCAACATATATTGATTTGTTTTGGTAGTAGGGTACCAAATCTATTTACCAAGGATTGAGGATTTGAAACCTCATCCAACAAATCTATCACATCCTGAGCCCTTTTTTTTTCACAGGCATGTACACGGAATGTGACATACTTCCACAAAATAATAACTCACAGCAGATATAAAGTTAATAATAACTTTTAACCAAAAAAAATTTCAAATGTTCTAAATATCCATGTCTTACAAGAAAAAGTAGATCAAGTCCTACTGGCTAAACTTAAAATGTATAAAACTTAAGTGCTTTGATGCAACACTACATAATGATAGGTAATGTTCCTTCCTACTCTGGTGTTTGTAACAGGATCAAGTAACTGCTCTGAAAACATGAACAACAGAAAAAGCTGAGTAGGAACCTCATTTACGTCCTCACAAAACATATAGGAAAATAGCATAGCAGATGTAGAATAAATAAATCAGAGTAAATCACAAACTATATGGTCACAATTCTCAAAAACTAGTTTTGGTAGCACAAACTAGAACAAGGATCAATCTAAAGTCACAAATATAACTCATAACATATGGCATGGCTGGACACATGATGAGGCATGCTTCCAATAGGAGATGGAGATGCATAATCCCTGGGGATGGATTCTCTCCCAACAACAGATAAAGTGAATCCATATTGCACTTCTAACAACAGATGAAATGATGTCCCTCACCTGTCAAAGTAGGGATATGTTCCTCCCAACAGCAAATGGAGGAATGTCTAGCCGTCACGTCTAATAGCCCGCTAATCTCTAAAGGAAATCGCCCTCCAGTATAGTGACCCTCCTGCAGTTGACAAGGATCATATAGGTCCTCTTATCATATCAGTCACATATCTCATGCTAGTCTTAGGACTGGTGCTACCACATACATCCATTCATCCAGAAGTCATCAAATAACATCAATATCATGGATCATATCATAATTAACCCTCAATTGACTTGAACCTTAATTGAATCAGTCCAATTGCCTCGAACTGGACTCAATTCAACCAGAACCTTACTAAACCAACCCGTAATCCTCATAAGAGTAGTTTGGAATCACCCTAAACTAGTCAAACATAGACTTGATTAGGTCCAATTTAGGTCAAACAAGCTTGGACTGATCTAAATCGATTCACAATCACCTTGAACCACTCAGAGTCGACCAAAACAGTTTGGTTCAAGTTCAATTTGGCACAAACTCAGAAAAACAGACCACAACAAGGCTACTGGGCCAACCCAGGCTCGAATCCAACCCAATACAAGGCTGAAATCAAGTCAAGCTAACTCAATACAGTGCTGGGTCGAATCCTGGACCAGCCAACAATGCACTCACGTGCTAGGCATGTGCATCAAAGAGGGAGGAAAAGGGGGCACGGGCTGGGCTGCAGAACTGGGTCGCACCTGGGCTGTAGCCAGTGGGCCGCGCCAGGGCTACAAGCTGAGTCATGCCTGCACTGTAGCCAGTGGACCGCACAACATGGGGCCGCAAGCAATGGACCGCACCAGCCTGTCACTTGGTCGGGCCGAACCTGCCAAGCCACCAGCCTGGTCTAGTCAACCTACTAGGCTTGAGTCAAACCCGTATCTAGGCTCAAAGTCGCATCGAACTGAGCCACGAGTTGAGTTGGGTCTGCACTTGGGTTAAGCCAGGCTGCAGGATATGTTGGTTGGGCCTGATCAAGCCCGACGGCTGGGTTTAACTCAGATCTGATATGAGTCAGAACAATTTTAATTCTGATTTTCTATTTAATTCCTTTTTCACAGATTTCTAAAATTCTACAGTAATTCAAATAATTGATAAAAATTCAAAAAAAAAGGATTTAAGTTTTAGATATGTATAATCACTTAAATAAAATAACAGCATGATTTATCAAAATTTTAACACCACTTTTCATGAATTAAAATTATAAACAACCAATAAACTTGAGTTAAAATTCTGTAAATCATGAAAAATATAGATACAACCTACATAATTAACAGTAAATCAGATCGATAGTATAATCATCAGTATAAGCCGATTTTACAATCTATAATTTGGGTTTGAATAATTTCTAATGTTAAATTTCATGTTTTGCATTCTAAAAATTTGCCACAATTGATAGAAAATTCTATAAAATTATCATTGATCTCAAAAACTTTTCTATCATTAATAATAAAATAAAATTCATAAATTTATTGAATTAGGAGAATCAGAGTACCTATGTCTCCGACATTGTCTCACTCCTCTCCATTGGGACCAAAGTCTCTCACCGTTGTGAAGAACAGGGAGAGTGCAACCCATCCCTATAGAGGAGAGGAGGAGAGAGTTTGATTATGTTAGGATTTTAATAATATTTTCGAAATTAATATTTAATTAATCTCATTTTATCTAAATCCTAACTTAATGTATTTTATTCGATTTCAAACACTTCTCATCCTCAACTCAAGATAAAATATGATGGAATATTCCTAAATCTTAATATTTTCAGAATTATTCCAAATTTTAAAATTTTTGGGGATAATATATACATATATATATATATAATTTATTTATGTATATGATCCTAGGACTAATCAAGTCGAGTCATTGGTCACTAGCCCAATGTTCAATTTTGTAGCATTTTATCAAAGAAATATTTATTAATATACTTAGAGAACTAGAAGGAAAGTAGAAGTCATATAACATTAATTATTAACTCTTTAAGTCTACTTTAGTTTTGTACTGAATTGGAAGCAACAAATTAAATCTAAATATCCACCTAGATGGGCGCTCTATATTAGGTTACATATATCAACTGATAAAGAAAAAATAAATTGAAGTGATAGAAAACTTAAGCAAGGTTTCAAATCTTGATCCTGTATCAGTTTCAGTAATCTACCAAACTGGTACAGCACCATGTGCAGGCAGTATATTGACCCGTACTGTCTATATCAGCTGAAAGAAAATTGAAAATTTAAATACTGACAGGTATCAAACAATATGGTCTGATACCAATCCTTGCTTGAACCGGTAAAGATTGATTGGTATGGTATGCACCGACCAGTACTTGTACCTACGTATTCATGCAAGATACATTATATTGCATTGTATGATATAACCATGTATCAGAGCACCATATGGTCTGATACCACTGCTTGCTCGAACCAGTATTTATACAAGTCACATCAAAAACCATCTAATATATTGCATAATATTTCAAGATACATTTGTAACCATGTATTTAAAAATTGTAATTACATTGATACAAGAACAGTCACATCAATATACCAAATCATGAAGAGTCCTTAAGTCATTAAGAATCTAATTAGGCAGGTTACAAGTCCTTTGCTAATTTTTCAATGGGATTGCGAATTTTAAACAGGAGTTCCAATCCCTAACTTCTGGTATTTTACAAGACTCAATTAGGATGATTGGTGCATTGAAAAGGTTTGCAAATAAACAAGCTATCAGCTGAAAAGAGAGAGACTGTACAATGGATTATGGTCAATGAAAGTTGTTTCCACTTAGCAGCTAGTATTCACCTTAAGTTTATTTATTTTCTTTTAATTCCACTTTATTATCTATTTTCTTTATTGTAATCACTAAAACATCGGTTCCTGTCATTTGCTGATTAAAGACTGTCAGAAATAGTCCAGATTGATATTCCGTTTACTTGAAATGGTAGAAATGTAGTTATAAACTCGATTCTCAGTATTGTTAGTTTCTCAGCAAAGTAGCCCCTAGAACATTAAATTTGAAGCATATGATTCAATCAAAGTTCCACACACTCAATATGATTTTTGTTGCATTCATTTGTTCCACAGGTTTGCTTATTTAAAGTCAAATTTTAGTGAATGATAGAATTATGATGAAATTTATAACAAAGAGGAAACAGATTATAGAAAAATGGCACTTCATAATAGATCATAATTAATTGAAGTTGTTTCTCTTTAGCATGAAGCTTACCGTCGTCTCCATACCCTTTTGTCTAGTTCCCATTATCTCTATTATTTCCATTTACCGCAGAAATAACGATACATAGTGTTCATGCTATTACAGCTCAACAGCAATGATATACGAATACGATCCAGGTCAGAATAACAGTCATATCGTTGTTTTCTTGAATTTGATGTCTTTGACATATGCCAACAGAAGCATTGATCTTTCAGTACGAAATGTGCAAGACGGAACAAGCATTGATCACCTGAATCACATTCGGACTCGACCCGGCACGCTTCCGCTTGTCGCAAGTCATTGGACCCCCGAGTGATGATTCTTCCATCTTCAGAGACCCATTTCTTCTCTGCTCCTCGACCGCCATACGAAACCCCTAATCTGTGCCCTCCGTCGCCTGATAGGCTTCGACGAGACACAAAACACCCACAACTACCAAAGAACACCTTGTGAAAAATCAAGGGAGGGGGCAAATAATTGACGAGAGAGAAGAAAGATGGGATCCTGCGAGGCGGAACGATAAACCCTAGCGGTTTCGGGTGCAAGGTGAAGGGAATTGATCGATCGACAACTGTTTGGCAGAAGCGTAGCGAAGCAAAGCTTAATACCTTCTATTATAATAACTCTATTTCTTTTTAATATGCAATTCCAATATTATAATTTTCGATAAATATATGTTGCATTTTACTTTTTTTTTGCTAGAAATTTATTTGTAAAATCCTTTTTCTGAAAATGGATTGGATATAAAAAAAATATAAAAATTTATTTTCATTCTCAAGTAAATAAATACCTAAATTTAGATACCAGAAGATCTAATGACTTGACATTGATGGGTTGATCATAATTTACATGATTAAGTTGATGAGGGTGATGTCCATATCTTTCATGTTTATCAATCAGTGAAGATTTAATTAATAATTTTTTGTTTGATATTGAAATCCTAATTTCACAAACCAAAAATCACTATATCCAAAATAAGATTCATGGGGCTTCATAAACCAACTTAAATCTCTTTCCATTTTTGATGTTGGATAATTTAGGATGTCACATTATCTTCATCAAAAGCAAACCCAATTTGCAATTCTGTCAATTTCATGGGGGAAAAAAGGCCTTCTTTTGACAAGTATTAGAACCAATTAGCATTGGAGGAAAAGATCTCATAGTTATAACACAATAAACATATTGTGTATAGTGAATCAAGTAATACAAATCATCCTCCAAAATCCCCCCCTCACATAAATAGGGTGGCAACCATGGCATGGGTCATTGCAAATAGCAAGCCACAGCTCCACTACCATGGTGAGCTTGCTCAAGTGTAAGCTTTCAAGTTCTCTTTGTCAAATGTGAGGATTTAACTATATTTATGCACAAATATGAGTATCACATATATGTAAAATGAAATCAAACTTTGAATTAGGTAGATGTGTTTTCATTAACCCCCTGAGAATTCACTAGATTTGGTCACATATTTTGCAGAGCAACCAAGTTGAGGAGGATAAATTCTAATAGCCTGTGTCCCATATTAGATAATCTATTACCTCTATAGTTCAATTGTATAATGTCCACATCACAACAGAGCAATCTTATCAACATACATACTAAAATAGATTAACTCAAGAGGTTTTTTTTCTGTTCCTCATGCAAACATTGAGGAAGATGGGACGAAGAACATGTGTCTGGACACATGTTCTTATGTTCTTCAACTTTCAGCTGCTTGTTCAATGTACATGGTGAGAGACCAAAGTAACAACAAAAGCACCACTGCAGCCACTATTTTGATATACTTCATCAAGCATACAAGTCTCCTAAATATCAGAGAGAGAGAGAGAGAGAGAGAGAGAGAGAGAGAAACAGAGCTCTGACTTCCACCATTATCCATCTCCATTAACCCTACTACTGAA